AACGTTTTTATGAAAAAATTATATTTTTAAATATTTTTTATCCTTATCATTTTTTTAAGTTTTTTACTTTTTTGAATGACAACATAGAGTTTTAATTTCAAAGCAGAATAATATTTTTCTAAGTATTTTGATTCATAAAAATCGAATTTAGGGCGAGTAGTTTATGAGTTATAAGTATTTAAAGTCTAGATTGGCAGTGTGGAGTGGTACGGGGTTACCCCGGAAAATGTTTGTCCACTACTCCGCTTGTCTAAACTTTAAATACTTATAACTCATAAAACTACTCGTCCTAAATTCGATTTTTATGAATCAAAATACTTAGAAAAATATTCTGATTTGGAATATGAAATTAAAACTCTATGTTGTCATTCAAAAAAGTAAAAATCTTAAAAAATGATAAGGATAAAAAATATTTAAAAATATAATTTTTTCATAAAAACGTTGTTTTTTAATAACTTGAAACTATGTAAAAAAAATATTTTGAAAAAAGTATACTTTTTTAAATAATAAGTGTTCTTCGATAAAAAAAATCACCCTATAGGTAGGTAGTTTTGATTTTGTAGAGTTATCACACGAAATTATAAATTAAAAACAGTTTGGTGCAAAACAACACCATTTATATATACAAGTATTAGGTAGATAGTAATATTATATTCATAACACGATGATCAAGTCAAAACATTTTTTGCACTGTAGATTTTATTTTATTTTTTTAGTCATGAAATTAAGAATCTGACAAAATATATTTACAACTTTATCTCAGTAGAACTGTGAAACGAAAGTCACAAATATTGTGATAACGTCATCTTTGTACATAAGGTATATTAAACTAAACATAATATTGCATAATTGTTTGCCATTTATACATCGTTGTCGTGACTCTTTCACAGCGAACAAACAACACAACTGTCGTTTTTTAGCCAAACGAATAGTAATCAATCATTGGTGGATTAATATATCACTTCAAATTCGCATTATTTAAGTCTATAAGTATATAGGTACTATGTGATAATTATATCGAATTGTTCTATAAAAGTGTTATCTGTACAAGTTTATCCTTGAATTAATGCACGATTTAAATCCAATCCATGGATCAATTTTAAAAGAAAAAAAAGGGTATTAATTTTCACAGTGATTTATTATAAACCGATGAGTGGAATCGTCAAATATGATTATTGTGTTGAGGAATTAACGGAATGAATGTTATAAGATAATGCAACAAGGATTCCATTCGGACACTCGAGTGTTTTCACACTTGATTTTCATAACTGAATTGATTTGAATCCTTACCACTGATTTATTTAATATCACGAATGCAATTGAATATAAACCGTTCGCCGACTTATTAAAAATCACTTGAAAATGATTGATAATGACGCTTAAATCACTATTATTTCCGTCTTAATATAAATATATGAATAATATTCAATAGATTCCTTATTTCATCCGTGAGAAAATAATTTCAAGCAATCGCACTCGTTTTATTCAACGGTTGTACCTGCAGCAGCAGCGTTATTGTTAATCAGTATAGCAGATAAAATTATCCGTCAAACCCCGAAACAGAAGTTTTCGAATTTATATAGTTTTGAATTTATCCGTGAGCACTGAACACGCGTACTATTATTGTATGTGTAGGCACTAGACACAGGTTTGAAGCCGAACAGTAAAATAAATCATTTATAGTTTATGGTTTTATGATACAAATTGCGCTGTAAACATTATCCGATCGAGTATAGTTGTTCGTGTTTACACATCATCTGTCATAAAAATAATCTCATATATAAATATTATATATTCGACGTGGCTGTGACAACAGTCGTAAAATAATTTACAACGCAATACACACTATACGCGTGTACAATATGATGATGAGCTGCAAATACATACGTGTAACGTTCGTTCAGCAGGTACAAACGAACTATAACAAGTTAAAAAAAAAAAAAAACCAAACTAAACTAAACTAAAATACACGACCGAAATCGATTAAATATGTTTATATAATATTATATAGACAGTCGTGCGATCGCTTTGTATATAGTGCCGATCGCTCGTAAATCTTAGACGGATCGGCGAGAACAAGACGCGTGTTGAGAAATCACTCGCGGAAAGACGCGTTCCGGTTGAATATTATATTAAACTCATGCTTTACTGTGCCTATCATTTTATAATATTCGTAACCTTTATTCACTCGTCTATATAGCGCCGGCGAATATAAATATATATGTTATATGTATAYATCTATATTCACGATGAATATGAATGATCTGGATTGAAAAGAAAAGCGAAAGGTTCTCGTGTTGTATATATTATCRTGTATAGGTGTTGTTACACGATGATGATAGGTACCTATGTATGTTTTGCGTTGCGAATCGTAGATACGACTTACAATGGCACACATCGAAATGCAAACGACGTGTTCGAGCAACACAATATTGCAACCGATTGGTATATTATACCCATATCTTATATTATGCTTACACAATATATATATTTATCATAATGATATGATGTTCGAATGCCACCGCCGACAAAGGTGTGGTGTGACGGTAAATTTTTCTGGGAAACGTAATTATTTTATATTATATATATATTGCAAGCACAGTTGGTGTATGCTTTACATTATTATACAGTGATATAATAGCGGTATTATACATATTATATTATATTGTTATAGCACTCGTCRCGTATGTCTTCGAAATAATATCATAATCGGTAACATATATTATRTGCTTTAGGTAGGTACGCATAGGAAGTCGTCGCCGTGACTCAGAAAACGTTGTTTGGCTTAACCATTCCCGCCGCAATATTGCAGTTCTGTTGTCACCACATACTATCTGGGAATGATGTTATACGTTTGTCAATATACATATGATTGTGATTTCCGTACAAATAATCGCGTATCGTGGATTCGTTTTTCAAATATATATATATATATATATATATTGTACAATATTTTAATACTTAACTTAAATGGATATGTTGTAAGTATTGTATATAATATGTTATATTGTACTTGACGCCGAGGCTGAGAGTTCAACAATTAAATATAAATTTATCATCAAACCATCGTTTGATTTCAGTATTACTGCACAACCGTGTCGATTTTTAGCTATTTGAAAATGACGTGACTTGCATGTACGACGTCCAAGCGAATCGAAATGTAACCGATTACTGACAGACTGTTTTTTCAATGGTGAAGTAAAAGGGTTGATTGTTATAAACATGTTAGTTTCGTAAATCACGTCATTATAGAGTTTAAAAATTAATAGTGCTTAACACTGATCGTATATTAAAAGTATATTACCTACTTAATTTTGATTTAGATTTTTAAAATTTAATCATATACCTAGGTATAACTCGATTTTTGTAGAATCGTACAAGCATAACACAACAACGTGTTTTAGTGAAATTGTTGGAATCGTATTATTATATTTTAATTTGTTATTGTGCTGATATCTCGCAACAGTTGTTATTATTGGCTTCAAAAGCAACAACTTTTTTTCGCTATCAATTAATAGTTATTATGTTATTATATGAACCATGACGGTGTGACGAAATTTCTATTAAATGTGTAGTCACCCTTGAATGGGTTTTTACAATAATTTATCTTTAAGGGTGCAAACAATTTGTGTGAAATAAATAATATAATAGATCAGTTCCAAATAAACCCAATAGAACTGTTCATGAGTAATCAAATTTATAAAATTATCAAAATCCAGTTTTTTTTTTAGTTTAAGTATATATTTGTAAAATTGATCTGACTTTGGTGCTTCTTTTACGATATTAAAACGGACGAGTGATGTCCGAGTGCATATAGTGACTTAGATTACGTTATAAATTTATAAGAATATGCGAGAACGTTATTTTTACTATTACCTACAGGGAATGAGTTGCAAGCATTTTGATATTAAGTGTTTTTAACGCAAGGAACTGAAACTTTTCGTTGATTTGACCGATTGGAGAAAGAACAGAAATTCAAATGACGCCCCGGTACCATTATAGATCCGACAAAGGTGAACAATTATGAATATATCGACATAATATAAATATTTTTATCCATATAAATAATAAGTGCCTCCTAGATGAATATGGCAAATATCGTTTCGATTGTGTTATGTGACTCTGTCAGAACTATATATAAATAACATAATAAGTTAGGTACCAATAGATAGGTTTAATAGTAAGTTACGATTGTAATATGAGTGATATTGAAATCCGGTGTGACTTAAAACGTATTCTAAAGTCAATCTTCGGCCGACGTCGCTAGTGACCGGATGGGTGACCGGATTTTTAGTGACGAATCCTCGTCTCACGTTCCTGGGTACTGGGCGGACGGTAAAAATCGTCAAAAGAGCGCCGTGTGGGAATAAGGCACCTATACTACCTATGTATTGGGCGGATGAGTTATATCGAATTTATTATAATATAAATACCTACTGGTTGGCGGTTGGGTGACGGGTGCTGGTGCGGGTGGGTCACATGGGGGGAGTGCGACCAAGACAAATAACACACGACAGTCATCTATGATACTATTATATACGGTTTATTGCACGCGTCGTAAATAATAAAACGTGTGTGTGTGTGTGTGTGTGTATTGTTATATATATTATTATTACTGATAAAAATTGACGGTTTGTTTATCCGGGCGAGCACGGCAACCGACAGTCGTGTAGACGTGATGTGTTTGCTTAGCGCGCTATACATATATTTACATCACGCAGAACGTCATGCGACACTGCGACAGGCTGTGTATAACGCAATATTTATATTCATATATATTTATTATACACGTAATGCCCGCTCCATCAGGTAAATGCACTGCGACGTTATGATAATTTATGTATGTGTGTGTGTGTTCGGTGCAATCGTATATTATATAATTCGGTGCGGGTATAATTTTTATTTTTATTTTTTCCCAACCCTTTTCGTGTAGTCCATGCTACGTACCGGCCGGGGACTTGGGGACCACACCGCCCAGACCACACGTCGAGTAAATATTGGCACGAGGGGTACCGTGAGATGGCTATTATAATATACTACCTATATACGGTAATCTAAACAACATTAACGATTGTCTCGTCCGTCTATGCGCGTATAGTATATTATTGTATATTTTGTTATGTGCGTGTATAATATTTTAATAGGTATAGAGAGTGTTTCAACCGCGTGTTTGATATCGTACACCCGTTTGCCAATACCATATATTATTATGATATAATTATTATGCGTTGTGCATAGCCGCCCACCTCCTGCAGGTCGAGCTTCAGAACTTACCTAAATATTTGAATGCAGAATGGATATCGATACACTGCAGTGTTTTACTTTCTAAATGCTTTTATAATCATTATTGGCTCTTTATAGCTCAGCTATATAATTTGATCGTCTCAGATTTATGAAACGGCAAAACAAATTTTCATTTACCTCCCCTTGTTCAATATGAATAATGATAATATTATGGCTCTCTCATATGATGAAATCATGTTTAAAATATATATTTAAAAAYAATTTTTTGACCGGGACCATCATTAAGGCGGAAGATACAGTTGGTTACGATAAGCACTTTTAAGTGGTACACCAACTAGCTTTTATATGGAGTAAATTATTTTATATAATATGTAGGTCCAATGTTTTATAATTACATATTATTTATTATGTTTCACGTGTAATAAAATCTGGAGAGGACAATTTATAAATATCATTATATCAACATAATTAAATACAAACTGAATGACAAACTGAATGGAAAAACAAAACAAATGACTGATGTTTTGAATTGTAATTATATAATAGGTAACCAATAAGGCTATTGCTATTATACAACCCATCGAGTGTCTGACTATGGAGTATATTAAAACATAATAWTTCTTACGGTTAATATAAAGGATGTTGATATGTCGAAGATTAAAGCCTATTTGGAAAAACATTGTTATTGTAACTTATACATATTATAATCGATACTCACATTATATTATGATGCCTACAACATTTTCATACTTAGGTAAATCCATTAAAATCATCATATTGTCTAGTATCTTAGTCTTTTTTTAGTTAGGTATTGCTCCCCCCCCCTCTCAAGAAAAAAAATACAACTTAGCAATATTGTTTATTAATAATAAAATGTTGCTGGGCCAGTAAGTTATTTTAATAAAAATCTGTATTTCGTTCCGTTTGCAGATTGCATAAAGTTCGGCATCAGCCGCCTGGTGGAAAAGTTCAACGACAGCCGTTCGGCTTACGACACATCGTATGCTGCGAACAACAACAACAACATCACCAAGAGCCTCAATGTACCGGATATCGACAACCGACGTGGAGGCGCCGACGACGACGACGACGAACGAGAAGTGAAGAGCGGCCGATGCGCGAGGGAGTCAGCSCGGAAGATATGGTCACCGGTGAGGAGTTCGCCATCGCCGTCCTCGTCGTCTGAACTGGACGTGGAGAGCCGGTTGGCGTCGCCGGACATCGACGTGACCAAATGCGGTACCACTCCGCCACCAACAGTGCAACCACCTCAGCCCATCGTATCTACGGTGCAGGTGACTGCAGCCGGCAAGCCACCGGTAACCGCCAAGAACTCGGAGGCGTTCAGCGTTAGTGCGCTGCTCAAACCGGACGCACCCCGCACCGTCAGACATCCGTTCAATCACCATCACCACCATCATAACCAGCAACAACATCACCAACAGCACCACCACCAACAGCAGCAGCAACAGCAGCCGGCCATGACAGCCGTCGATACCATATCGGTCACGAGATCGCTGTTGTACCCTGCCGTCCAGTTCCCGGACCTGATCAAAGACACACGGAAGGAAGTGCACTTGCACCCGTCCGCGGCCAACACGCTGCTTCAGAAACACTTTTCCGGTTTCAGTTTTCACCCACACTTCTATTCGGCCGCCAACATGCTGAACCCATCCAACGGTTCACCCGAGCACGGCGCCAATGGCGGCGGCAGTGGCGGCAGTGGCGACCCGCACACTGACAACAATCACAACTTGCTCACCAGCTCGCTGTATCTGAGTCTAGGCGCCGTCCAGGCGGCGGCCGCTGCAGCTTTTGTCCATCCCCTGTCCACAACAGGTAAGTCAACGACCAAATTATCCTTAAATSAAGTGCTAAATGCCCTACATTATAGTCTTATTCCCTATGCCATAGTGCCCATCATTATGGTGTTTCACGTGTTTGTGTCGATTAGAAATAATTTTTTCCATCGGTTGTGCATAACGTCAAAATTAGAAAATTCTTCATACTTATTTTAGTGAATGGAAGAAACCAAAAATAAATAACGGCGAAAAACGGGAATATTATAGATTTTGGGGTTTTTTTTTTTAATTTCATAATTCAAAAAGGAATAAAATAAAAATAATATTTTCCCTAGACCATTGGCATTATGTGTGCGAGTAACTATATAACTGTCAAACTTCTGAAGTTTTAATTAAATCTAATTTAATAAATACAAATATTTACCTATTTATGTATAATTTTTGT